ATCGGATGTGATTAACCTTTTTCTTCTACAAATTTGTCGAATCTTATACTCTGTATCAATTTTATACTCCGTATGCTCTTTAATCTAATCCTCTCTCCGTTCTCAAAAACACTTCCTCTTTCATTTTTTCAACTTCCAACAAAACACTTCCCTTTTCTATTAAAAAACCACTTTTACCCTTACTTTTTCATACCCTACCTATCACATCATACTTTTTCTCTAATAATCTATCCATCACATCTTACTTTTACCCATCACATCTTGGGCAAAATTGGAAATCAACTATAATTTAACACTTTCTTATTTTTGCCCCAAATCAAAATGGGAAGGATTTTTCCAAACGGGAGTAGTTTAATCATCGCCTTCAACATATTTGTCTTTAACAGTCATTATTTGTCTTTAACTTTTAAAAAGTTAGTTCCGCAGATTCCCATATTACCGGAGTTAGAATTTAATGTAACATTTGTTACTCCCTCCGTCCCAAAATATTCACCACATTTACTTTTTTAGCAGTGTCGGGAACTTTTGTTTATTTCGACGTTTTCATTGATTATTTGATTAAATAAAATATTCTTGACACCTGTTATTTCGAAGAACTTTTCATGTAGTTTTTTGATATGTAAATTTTATTTTTTATTTCTTTGCCAATATATAAATAAAATGAATTGAAAAAACTTGATATTTTGCCTCGGGAATACAAATGTGGCAAATAATTTGGGACGAAGGTAGTATGACTTATACTCCTTCCGTCCTAAAATTATCTTCCCGTTTGTGTCTACGAAGTTTCATCAACTTTATTTTCAATTCAAATTAATTGATTGGAGGTGTAAAATTAAAAAATAATAGTTACATATTTCAAAATGAGAGGTGACAAAACTATATCATTTTATCATAATAAAAAATAGGTAAAGAAAGTTATTTAAGTTTGACCGTGTAAATAGTAACTGAAAAGATAGTTTTAAGAAGAAGGGAGTATGTTTCATCCTAAACTCTACATTAGAAATATGGATTTTCTGTAAAAGATTAGCAAGAAATTAGAAATTAATTTTCATACCACAATAATTTAGTACTCTCACCATCTTAATGAATTTTACCACTTTTTACTTTTTTCTTGTTTTAAAAAGTACTTTATCTTTCTAATAAAATTTTCTTTTTATTTATAGCAATCATTAGTGCCTCTATCACTGAATATTTGTCTAGTTTTAACTTTTTTCGGTCATTTATTTTCATTCTTTGACCTATAATTAAATAAAATATATATTGTATATCAATTAGATATAATAATATTTTAAAAATATTTGACATTTCAGGAAGTCCAAGGTATAATAAAACTAATAACTATATATTTATATCAATATCTAAAATCATTTTTACTTATTTGGAAATTAAAATTTATTAATTTTGATTGAAAGAGTCAAATTTAAAAATACTACTCCCTCCGTCCCGGAGTTTTCATCTAGTTTTACCTTTTGGAACTGTTCATCTAAGCACTTTGATTCATCAATTTCTCTCAATGTGTAAGCCTAAATATAGTCATGTGTGATCTTGTTTGATTTGTCTTAACATATAGATTATTAATATATAATTCTTATAATTTTTTAATATACAAATTACAAGATAAAATGGATTAAAGAATTGTATTGGATAGTGTGTAAAAATGAAAGTGAACCGATGAATAATAGGGAGTAGTAAAAAACTAAAAAGAATAGTTACCGCGAGAGGAATCCCAAGAACGGAAAAGAGAGTTAAAGCCCCCGCCTTCACCCCAGCCGACGGCGACATGAGTGCTCCGTCGGGGCCGAACCGCCGTGATTTCTCAGCGGATTTGCTCACCAAAACGGTCATTCCCAAGCAAGCCGCCAAGAGAAAGTTGACGCCGCCCCAGAGCTTCTTGACGCCGCCGAGCCGGCGAGCCAATAACTCCACTCCGAGCGACATGAAGCCGAGAACCACAGAGTTGAGCATGAGGCCCAACGAGCCGGCGTGGACCCCCTGCTCGTAGATCCTCCCTTCAGCGGCGTTCCCGGCCGGGTCCCCGCCGTACACTTCCTTCCCCATCCAGTCGGTGTCGAACAAGAAGAAAGGGAACCACGCGATCCAGTTGAGGCACGTGACGAGCAGCAGAATCCACATGGGCCTCGGGAGGTCCTTGAGGGCGCCGAATATTTGCCCGAAGAATTGTAGCTTGGACTTCTCCGACGGAATCTTCTCGTTGCTAACGGCGGGTTCTTCGCCGCCGGCATGTAATTCGCTCTCGCTGACGGTGCTCAGGGCCAAAGTAGTCAAGGACAGTAGAAGTGCGGCGGAGATAAAGAAACAACTCTTCAAGTTTGCACAGTAGACGTCGCAGGCCTTCGTCTGTGAGAATGGGAATATTCTGTGGAGGTGAGAGTATGAGCCGGCAGCATAGCCGAGGACATTGCCGATCGCCATGAAAAATGAGAAGAATGAGTTGGCCGTTCTCATCCTCTTCGCACTCCCGCCTGAGAGATCTGCCAACAGGGCTCTACATGGACCCTGATCATGAAACAAATAACCACCAAAATTAATTAGGCATCTTTCTCCTTTTTTTCAATTCGTAGTCACAAAATTCCTTTTTCTTTTTTTTTTTAAAATCTTTTTTATCCATATTAATTCTTATCATATTCAAATCATATTTTTTAATGACCTAAATTAGATTTGATGATGCTAAACCTAAACATTATGGCTAGATAATCTTCAATTTTCAAAAAAGCTACATACGGATAATATGAAACGGTAAAGTTCTTAGGGCCTGTTTGGGAATAGCGTTAGCTATTAGCGTTAGCGTTTTGAAAAGGCTATCTACGGACAGCGTTTAGCGTTAGCGCTTTCAAAGTAATCTGTATTGTTAATATTTTATGCAAAACGCTAACGCTAATCTCTAACGCTATTCCCAAACAGGCCCTTAACCAACGGTCCTCAATAACGTTCAAATTTTTATTATTTCATTACTTACTACTAACTCTGTCTCTGGGTATTTGTCTAATTTTGAGTGCAATTATGTTTTCAACATTTAATTTATAATTAAATAAAATATATAATGTTTATTTCTTAGATAAAATAATATTTTGAAAATATTTAATATAATAAATCTAATAAAACTATGTTTGTATCAATATCTAATATCATTTTATTTAATTTGAGGTCAAAATTAATTAATTTTGACTAAAAAAAGTTAAAAGTGGACAAATACTCAAGAACAGAGTTAGTAATGTTTCATGTAAAAAATGAAAATAGAGTGTAGAATTGTTTTATGAAATGGATGGAATATCTAAATGGTAGGGGTGTTCAAAGATGAAGAGTGGACACAACGAAATAAATAAGGGAAGTATATTGAGGGAGTATGTCACCTGTAGCATGTTATTGGCTACGTCGAGAATCCAAAATCCAACTACGAATACAGAAATGGCGCGAGGCTTAGCGGCCTTCCCAAGGGGGTCACCGGAAACATGTCCGATATCAGCGGCGAAACCAATAAGAAGGACGGCGATGGTGACTAGGGAGGCGCCGGCAGCAATAAATGGGCGGCGGCGGCCGAAGCGGGAGCTGCAGTTGTCGCTGTAATAGCCGACCATGGGTTGCACGAACATGCCGGAGATGGGCCCACAGAGCCAGATCAGCGGCGCATAGCTGTGCTTGATTCCCAGGAGCTGGACGTAAGGCGTGAGGAGGGATAGCTGAATGGCCCAACCGAATTGGACGCCGGCGGCGATTGCCGCCACCATTATGGTCTTCCACAACCGCGACTGTGGCGGCCGTGCTTGCTGGCCGACTTGCAAAGATGATTTGTTGTTGTCTTTCATTGTCTCTCTTGAACCGTTCTCCATCATAACAATTGTTCTTTTGTTTGCTCTTACTTAATAAGAAAATAAATTCTGAACCTCTCTCTTCAAAAGAAGGCTTTTTAAAGGTCTGATTTATTTCTACCTATAAAGTCGATCGAAAGATGATGATTAAGGAATACATATCGAAGGGTATTTATAGGGAAGCGCTTGACCAGCCAGCATCTAGATCTCTTAATTTAAAATTCATCTACTCAATCAATATCTTCATTTATTTTTAAATAATTTTTCTTTTGAACAAGACCGAAAGACCAAAATAGGACTAAAACATTGAAAATATATCAAAATAAAACTTCTATGTTTTTATTCCCAATTAAAATAGGACTTACATTACCAAACATGGTCATATACATTACCAAAAAAGTATAGTAATGTGCACATGCACACAACCACATTACCACAGTGCGCAAAGTCACATTACCATAGTACAAAGTCCTATTTCGAGAAAAAAAACATGAAAGTCCTATTTTGGTATTTTTCTCTATTTTTAATCCTATTTAGGGTGATTTCTATTTGAACAGATCTTTACAATCCATTCCATACGTCCATTTATTTATTTATTTAAGGGAAATAATATTAAAATAAAGATTAAAACATAAAAAATATATTAAAATAAGAATTGTAAGTTTGTATTCCTGAAATACGAGTTAAAATGCATTTATAGAGTTACAGTTTTAATCATGACCATGTACATTACCAATTTTATTTTCTAATCCAAAAATATAAACTATTTATAAAGCTAACCTTTATATATACTCAAAATTGGGTCGTTGGGTAAATCTCGTGAAAAGATGACCAATGGTATGTAGTTTGTTAAGTTTAGACTTTTGTGTAAAACGTTATGACCAAACTAAATGTTATAGTTCAATAAATAAACATAAAAATTTTATAATACAAATTAAACTAAATTATCCTAAACCAATTTCTACCCAGCGAAGGAATC